CGTTACTGTCGTTTTCGTCCTTATTACCCTTACAGTCCTTACTTTGCTTTAAAATGTTATTCAAAAGCTCCGGCGATCATTTTATTTTCAAATGGATAGTACTTTCTTTTACCTTTTTTCTCACCTTTTCTACCACCTTTTAATCAGGAAGAAAATGATATAGACATTAATAATTTCATCTTTGCATAACTAAGTACAAAATTAAGCGTGCAGTTCCTCTTGTATTCTCTTCACTGGTCCCTTTTTGTCCTTCAAGATTAAGACTAAATTGAATGATTATTCTCGCTGTACCTGAAGCAGAGAAATAGACAGTACACACAGGTAATCTTACGATTCTTTTTTCTTCTCTCTATTATAATGATCGTCGTTAGCATGACTTTCGTGAACCCAAGCAAACATCATCAGTGCGAAAAATCCAGATACATTTCGTCTGTAATCGGGCAATACTAGATTATTTTTTGACGGTTTAGAATGAAAATGAAAACGCAGTCAAAGCACTGTACATATGATAGCTGAGAAAAATTAATCAAGGACAAACTAAATCAAGCGTGCGGTTCCTGTCCTATTCTCTTTTTCGCTCTCTTCTTGCCACTTGAGATTAAGTTTATCATTAGTATTTCAGTGTGAGCATTTATATTCGTTTTTCTCAAAGAAAATGGCATCAGACTACATAACGCTCATTCTACTCATGACATTCATGTGTTACTCGAATGAAGTATGTGTAGCAAACGTTGACGTTAACATTGAAATAAAGATATGATAGCATCTGGTGCTTCGAACCGGTAGATGATTAAGTTATGTTTGAATCTAGCCGACTTATTTGTGGTAGACTGTGCACACATGCAATAATTCTAAGCGGATTTTTGGTACGATGAATAACTGCAAATAGCTACTTTTTTATGTAATCATAGAAAATATTCGTGAGAAAATAACAAGGTGGAAACAGCAGATTTTGTAACTTTTGTAATCTGGGCTCCGTTCCACAACCAATCAACTTTTTCAAATTTTGTTGCATTCCTGGAGACTCCTTGGTATTCATCGTGACTTCGCTAAGCCCGAAGAATTTTCCTGACTGTTTTTGAATATACCTGAGAAGACTAAAAAAGGTAACGCAAAGACAATCTCGGATGTGTCGTACTCAGTGTGAGTTTTATATTCTCTTTTTTGTCCCAGTTTTCTATGACTTGAAATTAGTGAGAAAAACGCACTCGAGGTGTAGGGAAAGGAAGAACATACAGTTCACTACGTTCACTCAGCCGGCTTAATAAATTATGATTACCATTTTTTGAGCTGGCTTTTTCTAATCGTTTACTTCCTGTACACACCATAAAACATACTCTTTTTACCTTCTAGATAAACGTACTTTTGTTAGGACACTTTTCCAATACATGAGCAAGAACCAAGTTTTCTGGAAATGATCAGTTTCAACCTACATTCGCCTATGTGTTTGTTATGTTAGTTCTACGTTATATCTATCTGTTATCTTTCGTTCAGTTCTAACCTTTCATGCCTTTTTCTTCACATATGACGTTCGTTCCTCTTCTTTTTCGTTTCTCGAATATAAGGTGCCGGAAATTCAAAAGGTTAGTGATAAAATGAATCTGGTCGAATTATACATGGTTGGATAGAGCACGTTGAGCTGATCAAGAATATCACCTTTAAAGATTTTTGACGTCAACTGTATAGTTATTCTCTGATCCCAGTTAGCCAGAACCAAGTGATTCTGAGCTGGGATAAGCCCAAGGCTTGTGAGTACTCGCTCACACGTCGTCCAACAGTATAGCGAGTTTCAGTGGCTCACAAAATTTCGAAAACTTGAGCCTAAAAGCATTTTTCATTTTCTACAACAGAGTTGTAGTTATATTATAGTTACTACAAAACACGTTGGTGATTGTGTTCTGTTATTGAAAAAGAAAAGAAAATATATGCAGAACGAAAAATAGGAATCCTACAAAATCTTACCGTAGGATTTTGTAAGAAACGCATAAGATTCTTATTTATAGGAATCCTATAGGATTTTTGGTACGGTCCTACATGAAGAATCCTACGGAATTCCTGCTGTAGGCTTTTATAGAATCCTGCAATAGGAATCCTATGAAACCCTATTACCAGTAGGATCCTATAGGATCTTGTAGGAACCCAGTAGGATTGTGTGACCTAGGGAGAGCTCAAGAGGATCTACGAAAGAAATTTATTTCACGCTTTAAATGGATTTATTATTCCACGAAGTCAAAAATGAAGCTCCGAACCTTTTATTGTAAAAATCAGTTTTTTGTATGTTAAAATTCCAGCATTTTAAACTGTTTCTGTCTGATGGCTCCTTCTTTTTCCAAATGATTAACGTCATTTTGTAGAAGTCGTCGAGCTCTACAAAATAGCTATTTCAATCAGGTAGTTTCCAGTTTGGACCAAGCTTAGAAATGAATCCTAAAATATTTTATTCCCGAAACCCCAGACTAAGCCAATTTTTCTCGAAATCTCTAAACTTTTTGCCACTAGAAAATCCTTCTAAATGCCACCATTCGATGGAGCTTTTCGCGATGATTCAAAAAAGTTCGTCGCGAACTTGAACCAAACTGAGCAACTTTTATTCCCATATATCACAAGAAAAATCTGTCTTTGAAAAAATTTCCGAAGTTTTTGTCGAGATACAGTCGACAAAAATTTCCGAAGTTTTTGTCGAGATAAAGTCGACAATGAACATGGTTAGGTGCGTCTCGACGAGTTCTATCCACTTAACTTCAAACAAAAATTTACCTGAAAAAAGACATGAATTTTGTTCATTAAACGTTTACACAATTGTCAATCAGTTCGACTTCACATTATTTTCATCATTTAATAAATATTTGCGATTTTCCTCCTACCATCTTGACGGTTTGAATATGATAGTAAAGAAATCGTCCAGACATGTAAAAATTACATTCCATGTCCATGGAAACAAGAACTGTACAACAATTTTTGTGGCACACAATTGAGGTACACCACAGAGCAGAACCGTGCCTTCCTGACATGCAAAGCATAAATCATCGATTTTCTAGCTGGTCAATCTGATGTAAATCACATGGTTTCAGTCACTCATGGAGAAAATGATAAAGTTTTAATCTGGAATTGAGTTGAAAAATTTCACTTATGATTGATTTGGCTGGTCAAACCACTGGTCAAATAGCTATAAAAAAAAGATTTTTCCTGGTCAGGACCTGTTTTTCGCCTGATCAGTGAAAGAAATCAAGACCGCGAGCTTGTTGTGTAGATACAAAAATAGGCATTGTATATCTGTAAAAAGTAGGTGTGCTGCTCAATAACCGCCGATACTGCGCAAAAATTACTAGAAACACCAGAAAGTTTTTTGAAGGACCTCTTTCCAATGTAACCATCATACTCAGAATGTCATTAGATATCTCTTGTTCAACATAGAAATCTAAGACATTACTCATCGTCTGTGAGAATAACTTTCAACTTTTTCGAATTAGTGGTCACTAAATACTACGTGACATAGCAAAACAAAATGGTGATTATGAACCTGACCAATGTCGGTTTGTCAGAAAATACCAAAACCCGACGAAGATTCATTATTTGTCTGATGAGTAGAAAAAAGAAGATTATCTTGATTTGGTCTTATCACTTTCGTGTTCTGACCTTGGAGCTGAATAGAACTAGCCATGCACTGTTTGAAAAAAAACTGGTTGAACCATTTCTTTTTCTGAATTTAGTGCATTTTAGAATGCTCATATTTATACCACAAATAACTTAGATGGGATTATAGTCCAAACATTTCTCTACGAAATGAGATGCTCCATCACCCTGAGAAGTCTTCAATAACCGATTTATAACTATTTTCGTGCAAGCTCCCACAGCACTTTTGAACCATCCCGCCGGATCAGAAATGCTGATTTTCGTGAAAACTATTGATTTTGAGAAAAGCACATGGTTGGGTAGCCCAAAGTGTCTACTTTCTAATGCCATATTTGTTTTGTCGATAGGATAGGTTTTTCATAGGGTTTCAGCGAGTTTTCTAGAAGCCCTATACAACAAAAAAATGGCTTTTCTGCACTTGTATGTTTAGCTTCAGAGCTTTCGCCGCGCACAGAAATTCTCGATAACGGTAGATAGGCAAAAGCTTTTTTTTTCAGTTGTTGATAACAACTATAACTATGAGTTGATAGAGTCTGATTTTTTAATTATGCTTCTATTTTTATAGAAATGCGGATTTCTGAGAAACTTTCTCAGAATTTTTCGGACTTTAAGGTTCTGTTAAGCACCAGACATCAGTAAATAAGAAATTCAAAAACCGGGCTCTGTCAACTTCTAGCCATAGGTGTTTCCTGCAAAACAAGACTGGTCCGAGCTCTCTATCATTCACATGGAATGAGAATTCCTGAGAATTGACTGAGACATATTTCTGACCCGGGGGGGCCTTAAACTTGTGCATTCCGAATAAGAAAGAAAACAGGGAACAGACAGCTGGACGTAAACAAGTCTTCACTCTGTTTTCAAGACCAGACAAACTAAACATTCTCTGGGATTGACTTTTTCTACATTTACAAGATCTGAACTGCGAGCTTCACCTTATTCTGTATACCGTAACCATCGCACAGCAGATTATCACACGACAGTAAACTTTGAGAATTGTAATGCGTCCCTACGCAACAGCTACTATAGAACTTTCTTGTCGATGTTCAACATGTTTCTTTTTAATACCAAAAATAGTCAGTATTCTCATACGACTGGTTATGCACATATATACAAATATAAAAAAATGAAAAATACTGCAATATAAGAAAATATCTGAAATGTATAATTTACTTCACACAAGAGTTTCTAAATGATTATCTTCCGACGACAAGGAACTTATACCCGTATCGGAATTATCAGAATCTGTATCATAAACTAAACTTTGAGTTTTCTGAGAACGTTCACATTTTTCTCTTAACATTTGCAAGATATCGTTACTTTGGTCACAGTTTAACATGTTTTGTTCGACACTAATGGAACGTCTTAACGATTTTGGTGTTCGACGAATTATGGCAGTACCAATGTGCGATGTTATTTCCCCATCGCCATTCACTAGTGTTTTTTCTATATCATCATCGCTCTCGCTAACCAGATTTTGTGAAGATTCTTTTAAAATACTTTTCAATTGTGTCTGTAATGGTTGTTGTTCTTTAGATTTTTTTAATAAATTATAATCATCGATTAACTGTTCAAATAAATTTTTTTTCATTCCTGTATTTTCATTGAATCGTACTTTCGTTCGACGTTGTAAACTAGATGAATGACGAGTTTTAGACGGTAAATTATTTTGTTGAGGAAAATAACATTGTTTCCCAGCGTTTTCTTTTTCTCTAGATTGTGAGATGACATCGTAACGTGATTTTCGAGAACCATTTTCTCTAAATACAAACAAACCGTCATATTAAAACTGAGTATGGGGGAAAATCTGACTAATGATTGATTATAAGCAATACTACCACCGTTTCCTTTGAAGAATAAAGAAAATCGCGTGGAACTAATAAACGGAAATATAATCGTAATGAGAAGGTATCACGATGATTTTAGATGTTCAAGTATCTTCAAAGGAATAATATTCTCTCACAACAAAATGATTTTTTCATGTTCAACTGTTTAGTCGCGCTTCAGAACTTTAGTTTATCCTGATCAAAAAATTTGTAGGTTAATTGTTTGTCGCACTCGACAAAAATAGTGAGATGAGTTTTAACTTACTTATGATCTCTAGTTCGCTCATTTTGTATCGTCGTATTACAATTATAATAATTCTTTGAATTTGTTCCATTATTTAGCACTACTTTCTGTAATTCAGAAATAATTTCTTGTTGCCGCCGTATCAAGGATTCTTGTGTACGTAATTGTTCGGTCACTGCCGGAATACGATTGTTATCAATTGCCGATAATGTAGATCGCATAAGTTTTTTTCGTTGTGCATAACGTTGTTTTAAACGTGACGGTGATGCAATACGCTTAAATGCAAGTGTAAATAGAATTTCAGCACGATTTCTAGTCGAATATCTTAATAATAGATCTTGCATGTAATCAGTATGTCTTAGGGGGAATAAACATGAATCACGTTCCATATACAGACAACAGTCACTCGGTTCCAGAGCATCTTCGTATGTATTAAACAGCAGTGCTTCAATTACGTTATGGACAGATGTTGTACGATTGATATTTGTTATACGTTTAAGTATTCCTCGAACACGAACAATACATTCACTAGGAGAAGCATAATCGTCGCCGTAATAACCTAAAACAAAAAAAAACAAGAATAAATCATTGGAAAAATATCACAGTGAAATCTCTTCCCAACGAGTTCAGACGACTTATAAAACATAGCATAAAATCTTAAAATTACTGCGAAAAAACATGTGCGATTTTTTTTGTCCTTGAAAAAATCTTCGAAATTTCTTTACCTTGCATGGCGTTAATGTTGGTTCGATAATGTAACGAATGCTTTCAAAAGTTTCGCAAAGCAAAGTGAAGTATTGATTAGTGTTGTGTGTCGAACGTCTTATGTTTTGGAAAATCTGAAGACAATCAATCTATTACTGGTGTTTTTATCTCTATTTTTCTCCTCTCTTTTTCTTTTCTGTCTCTTGCTTTTTCTCTTTAGCTGAAATCGTTTGGAATGTGTGACAATTGGTTCAAACAATTATTATATTGCCAATATGTATCTATCTATCTATCTAACATATTTTTCAATCGACCAAATGAGGCTCAACAATCCAATATAGTCCTCAGTTAGTGTTTAATTGATTATATGTATATAGAACGTTAAACTGTTAAATAGTAAATTACGATAAAAATGTTCACCCAAGGGGGATATGTAAGTGTTGACACCTGAAACTATATTCGTGATGAAGAATATAATTCGATTAAGAAAGAGAGAAAGAAAAAGAAATCTATCACAATTCGGTTCACTTCACATCAATTAGTGTCTAATATAAATAGGATTAACATAGAGACTTATACACATATCATTCTCTACGTAGATTGATATTAGGCAATAATGGAAAATTAGTTGTTAGTTTACTTCTGCATCACAATGACTAATTTTCATCATAAATATTCACACTAGATTCTGCTTTTTCAGTTACGAGATCATCATAAGCTACATGATTGCTATTGTTATGTCTACAGAATATTTTTATACATGAAACACTAATTTAGAAAAGCTTCGTCAAAACGAATTGAGGTGCGGATATGTAATGTAGCAATCTTAGATTCAGAGTGGCTAGTGCTTAACTTCTGACAATATAAGACGAGTTTCAGATTGAAAAACGGGTTACGATCGAAATGCAACTGAGAGAGAAAGACGTTCGGAAAGCAATGGACAATACATGAGATTCGACTCAAAACTGACTACTCCACTGCACTACTAAAGCTCAAGTTTAAACAATTATTTGAACTTTATTTAAATTTCTTGTAATTGTACTTTATGTGACTTTTTAAGATATTGGATTAGTATCAAAGTGGTGTGGTGTATTTTGTTTTTGAACATGACCATTCTGTATTCATTAAAGAACACACGATATATCGTTCATTTACTGACGGGTATTAGTTATTGGTTCTGGATGAAAAGAGAGAAGAATGACGGTAAAATTTTCCCTTTCTTCTTCAATTTAGATTTCGTCTAATGATTTGATAATTTCAAAGACGTGCATAATATTCTCGACAGTTTTACTCTTCATTGATGTCCTTTAAATAAATGATGTATGAATCGTTTGCTAAATGAATTTATTTATAAGTAACGCCTTTTACAAAAAATTTTCACTCGTTTACTCGCCCTTATTTCGCATAGAGTAGTATGGAGTAAAAAGTGTCAGTGCACGAACTTTTCGTCGTAATTCCACTATGTCACGTCAGTGTTTAACTAAAATAATTCAATATTAACGACGATGATAGAGCCAGTAGTTATGCACACACTAGTGCAAAAAGTTCTTGAAAATTCATATGGGTTTTCCAGATATATTCAAACGGAAGTCGAGCGGTTGTGATATCCCACACGGGATGAAAAGAGTCAACTTACTTATGTCAATGGAGTAAAAAGATTCAATCAATTGAAAAACATACAGATTTTTAAAAAGAATCTTAGCTTATTAAAGATGAGTGCTAATTAATTAGAATTATATCATTGTCACTATAACTCTTTGCGAAACAAATATGTTTGACATACTGATCGTAATAGAAATATATTGCCTACTTTTTCTCATATTCGCCTCATCTTTTTTTCACTCAACTTAGGAGTAAAAGTTGCATAACAAGAGCCCAAAATATTATTCAATTCATTTGTCGTTAACTAAAATGATTAATGAGACTATTAGTAAAACAGGGTAAACATTAAAGAGGTATTTAGGATAAAATTTCTTTCGTTTTAAAAATTAAGAGTCCGTTTTCGCATATGTTAAAGAAGATGGTATTAGTAACAGTGGTATCACAACCACTCGACTCCCGTTTGAATATATCAGGAAAACCAATATGAATTTCAAGAAATTTTTACACTAGTGCGTACATAACTGCTGGCTCTATCATCCTCGTTAGTTAAACACGGATGCGAAATAGTAAAATTTCGTGTACTGTCTCTTTTTACTCCATACTACTCTATGTCGTTCGTCAACAAATTCGTTTAATTCTTATAGTGCTTACTATAATCAAGAATATTTCGCTGACGTATAATTACCAGTTTTTGAAAATTCAGAACGCTAGGTTTTCTAAAAGCAAATATATCTCATTATAACGTTTCTTGTAATTATAGTGATTATTTAAGATGATTTCATTAGGAGCAATTTGTGACAGACGAGTAGCTGACTTTATTGGTAATTTTAATTAATAAAGAACAAAACGCATCAATTTTAATTTTGTTAATGAAGAGCAAAATATAGTGTCAAGTTTTGTGGTATTTAATCATTTTCTCTCATTGATGTCATACTCGGTTTCTAGATAAAGCGAGACTTACAGATCTTCGATATCATTTAAAAACCTTTTGAGACAGCATTCGATCATTGAAAGTCAAACTGTTGATTTCTACCATGTTTTGCTATGATGCTTGACAAAAAGAACATTGATTTTATTTATGTTCTTTTTCTAACTAAAAACTCTCGATACATAAGATAACAGCTGTCTGAAATTAAATGACTGTTTATCGGTAGGAATACTTTTATTCGATTCAGCTAGATCTGTGTTATATCGCTTTTGATCAGATTTTGCATCGTTGCGGGTAAGGGGAATATATTAAATATTCCGTAGACAGAAGACTGTGCACTACTTCCCACAAAGCTCAAAAACAATCGCTTAGTGTTTTTCGGTATGCGAAAGTAAACGATGTAGTATCTGTATCCAGGGGCGTCGAAGAAGTGATGGTATGTGGTTTGAACAGTATTGGCATTAGTCGGATTTGGCTCCGATAACGAGGCGAAGATTGAACAGCTGATACAATTAGTTGTGAACACGACGATCGAGTCGTTTATATTTGTGTATTCATAGATAACAAGTTGCAGCGTGTAGTGGACGCCGGATACTATAGTCAAACCATTTATTGGACTGCTGACGCTGAGAAGACGAGGTACGGAAGAAATAAGAGAACTAATATATGGAGCGGAGACGATTAGCGTAGTGAAACTATCGAATGGAACAGCATAAATTCGACTGGGATGGGACGCGAGTTGACTCAAAACGGCGGTCATTAAGCCACTTCCAATACCGACAAGGATCACGGTCATGCTTCTACTATTCTCAAGTTGACGAATGCGAGCCTCGGCTGAGCGATCCGGTGCACTTGAGAGCACAACAGTTACCCGTGGAACATTCGATCGACAATATGATTGACATAATGAATCGACAGAATCTAAAGCCGAGATCAGTGTGGACGGATCTAGGTGTGACGTTGTATACTGTTTTTGGTCCAAACCTGACTTGACCGCTGAGGCAGAAGTCGTAATGGCAACAACTGTGTGAACTGCAGATGTTGCGCCGTAGAAGAGGACGCTGAAGTAGGGACTCGAGGGAGATGGGCTCAACTCGGTAACAATGACGTTTAATGCTATTTTCATTTGACCCAATTGGATCATACTTAGATGGAAGTTCGCTTCATCGACGACTAGGAACAAGTCGACGGCTTTACTGTTCAGCGGATTGATGTAGGTTCGTGGCTGCACTGCTTCCACTGACATAGTTCCAACAAGGAGCAGAAGAATCAGACAGAGATAGCCTTGTATCGAGACACACGTACGTTGATTGTACATTTTTGTGGGGAAAATCCTAAAAATCTGAAATACAGTACATGTATAAAAATTATAAGATTCAGCTAATTTTTGATGGCGAATGAAATGGGGTAGTTTTTATCGAAATATATATAAATTTTTGTTCTTCGTTTCCTGGCCCATTTGACTAATGCTTGATGGTTTGGCGACTGACTCTTGAACTCTTTAAAGAATTTAACCGTGATAGCAATATGTTACGAAAAAGACATTTGTACATAAAACCATAAAACAACTTTTATTTATGACATAATAAAAAAGTCCCCGTTGTTTTAAGGCTTTTAGCTTTTTTGTCCTAGTCAGTATGGTTGAGTTTACTAATCAGCGTATACTTACAGTTGTTGAATTTTATCAAAACTTTTAACTATTTCAGCCTGTTGTTCTTTCTTTCTACTTCTACGGTCCTACAAATTATTTACCAGTGCGTTTAATGGTAAAAACCTGTTGGAGCTTCCCTAACTGGTTTTAAAAAAAAGTCAAAAGTCAAAAAATAAGCCATTTTCGATACTTAGATGCAAGTTCGCTTCGTCGACGACTAGGAACAAGTCGACGGCTTTACTGTTCAGCGGATTGATGTAGATTCGTGGCTGCACTGCTTCCACTGGCATAGTTCCAACAAGGAGCAGAAGAATCAGACAGAGATAGACACATGTACATTGATTGTACATTTTTGTGGGGAAAACCCTAAAAATCTGAAATACAAACTCGTTAAGTTTTTTCATGTAGGGCTATAGCGCCAACATTTTTTTTTCAAAATAAGGCGTCAGCAAGATTTATACAATTTACTGTTGAACTTTTATTGCGATTTTACGAATCGACATGACCGAGATTTGTCAGACTTGTAAAATCATAATAAAAGTTGAACAGTAAATTGTATAAATCTTGCTGATATCTTATTTTACAAAGAAATATTGACTCTATCATCGTATACCGTAGAAAAGTTTCTACTATACTGGACATCTTTAGTGCAAAGCCCGCACGAACATACCAAAAATACCGAGAAAATCTTGGTACATACTTAAACAGAAGTGAAAAAACATGACGTGAGTTTGTATAATGTTTTGCAACAATTTAGACCAGATAAGCTCAGGTGAGCGCTGGTTTTTTTCCAAGTAAAAATACAACGATCAACGTGTGTCATTCAACAAACAATACATTCAGTTATCTCCAATCAAGGAACTGGTAGTAGGAACTGTTTTCTTCCATGACAGTTTTTTATTATGTAACTTCGGCTCTATGCGAAGTACAGCGATGTAATGATATGTTGCTATTATCACATAATGTTTCGTCACGGCATTTTGGGTTCTCGGTATTTTTTATACAGGGAAGAAACAGTTTAAGACTTTTGTTTCAATAGTATAAGAAAAAGCAGCATGTAATAGTGCAGTGTCTGGTGACAGATATTCGTTGAACATTTCAACAATAGAAACCGTTTCAAATTTTGATATCCCTAAACAGTTGTTATATCATTTTGTCAATGAAGTGCATATCAAATTAAGGTTTGTAAATGTGTATACACATCTTATTCTTCAATCTTCTACAAATATCTTCTTATCCACACAAAATTATTTATAAATAATTTCTGTATCAGTGTAATGGTAAAATTCAACATATAGTAGGTTCAGATCTTTTGTTATCGTTTAACTGGACATTGTGCTGTGAATAAACCTATAACGATTATGAAACGGAATACAACTGAGCTAGAATAGAATTATGAACTAGTATGCTCTATAATTACGGTTAATCGTTTAGCTACTTGTATGTAGAGAAAAATGAATGGTATAAAAGCAACATCTCAAACAATTGTTTCATTAAATTGTGCGATATGTGAACTAAAAATAACAATATTTTGTCTTCGACTAGATATTTAGGTGATAGAGAAGTGAATAATAAAAGAGTATTTTACTATATTAGTAAACAAATTTATCTAGCTATCTTTGAATGTACTCATTTATGAACACTGACTCATAAAATGATTAAAAACCCTAGAAAAAAACGCTTTTCATTGTGCAATTGATCACTGCTGAATAATCAATGAGTTGAGAAATAGAGAAGGAAAATAGTGTTGAATTTGCCATTGGTTCTCACGTTTTAATTTCAACTTATCCAATATTGACACCGAACATAATTACAATATCAACAGCCTCAACATTACTTTCTAATTCAACTATACTATCATCAATAACATCGCTAAACTGTTATTTTGATCTGAAAGTGATTAGATCACGTTTTCCATAATAATAAAATCGAATATTCCATTTAATATAGTGATATTTGTTTCATTATGCTGCTGATGACATAAGCCGTTATTCCAGTTGGATGCTTCAGACATAAAATGTAAGTTATATTATTAAAAGACATAAAATAAATTCGATCAACATTCAAAACAAATCACATTCAAACATAAATTAGCCTAATTTTACCTCTCATAACATTTATACAAACCGCCATTTATGAATCGCCTTATCATTCAAAATTTAGTAGATGTAACGATTCAACTTCTTATATGAGTTTCTCGCATTTATTGCGTAATAAAAAGGAAATATTTATAATACAAAAATATTCTGTCTATATCCTATACTAGCACGGCAAAAACGTCACAATAATTAAACCCCCATAAAAAATAATTCAAAAAAAAAACAAAATGTTCATTACAATCTATTTTTTAATATCTAAGAAATCGCTTGACGTATACTCTATTGCTGGCAAAAGACCTTTTTGTTTAAAAACATTTCTAAAAAAAAATACAAGATAAATCTAGCATATTGATATTTACTTATTAAATATCTTGTCTACTAAACTTACTCATAAAATTTTAAATGAGCTTCTAATTGATGGAGTAATAATTGTTGCTGTTTTGCATGTGATCGAAGAACCTATTTTTTCAACAAAAATTAAAATATCAACTGATAAAAATTAAAAAATAACTATACAAACTTTATATTTTTTTTGATGACATTGTAAATCATCCATTTCATCGGTTAGACCTTTGACAAATTGAACAAGTAATTCATTTTTTGATTTTAAACTATCACGATCACCAGCTAACTGTTCAAATATACTAGGAAGTTTTTTAATATCATCAATTTTATTTTGACCATCATAACTAAGAGATACAATAAAAGAAAATTAATTTTATCTTCTCAAAATTAATATTTTTAACAATTCATTTTTTTTTTGTCTAGTAGCAATAATAAAGTACAGAGTTTAAATATAGATGAAACGTCTCTGCTCAGTTTTAATCAGTACCTTAACTTATACGAGATGTAATACCAAATTAAGTTAACAAATTTATTTCGATTGGCAAAAAAATACTTGACTTAATAGAGGAAAATAACACGAGAATCTTATTATAAAACAAAAAACATATTGCACAACAAAAGTTAATAGGTGGCATTCAAATATAAATATACTACAACACTGACTAGAAATTAATTTACAAATTAAAACGACCAAAAAAGCAGTGAATTTGTTATTGAAAGACAAATACGATATTTTAACATACACTAGACACAACACGACACACAAAAGAGAAATATATCTAACGAGAAATCATCCCAAAGTGTCCGTTCGCTTTTTTCTTGTAATCTGATTGAATAATAGGTTGTTTTTGATGCTGACGATGAACATATGGTCCATTTCAACAGATTCGACTTTTATAAGTGAATCTCTGAAATACTGCTCTTAGAAGAGTCATTCTAAATCCCACGATCGAATATTTAAATTCTAATCGAATCAGTTTGTAAAACTGGTCTACAGAACAAGTTTTCCATCAGTCACAGAAAATTTACTACAGAAGTTATACAAAATTATAACTTTATAGTTTCGTTTTTATAGTGACTTTTCTTTTTTTCGCTTTTTGCGATTGTCCTTTTCCCTTCCGTGCAAGTAGCACTATTTATTATAAGTCTTTTGACTTTTGGTGCTTTCCTTTGTACTTTTGATTTTTGTACGAATGGTTATTTACATAAAATTCAGTTCAGTCCTGTGACTTATGGAAAAGTTGTTCTGTGAGGATGACTCGACGAATTCTACAAACTGAATAGATTAGAATTTATTCGATCATGGAATTTAGACGGCACGGCCAGATCACTTCGTGACGAAATTTGACATTTTGATGTATTTATATTTTTTTGACGAAAGTACGTGCAGTGCTGTAGAACATCTAGAATTGTAAAGCAAACGTTTCTCTCCAAAATGAGGCGTCTGTACGTTTCTTTGTTTAAAAGCTAAAAGGAAAATACAAAACATCCTTCTCAAATTTCATTTTGGGAAAGTAGCATTTATTTACCGTTTGTTGTTTTAACAAAGAAACGTACCGAGCCCCTCATTTTGGAGAGAAACGTTTGCTTTACAATTCTAGATGTTCCACACCACTGCATGTACTTTCGTTAAAAAATATATATGCAGCAAAATGTCAAAATTTCGTCACGGAATTTCAATCTGGTAGTAGAGTGATTTAGTAGGGCGATTCTTCTGAAAGCAGTTTTCCAGAGATCCACTTATAAAAGCCGAATCTGTCAAAATGGACGATATGCTCGTAATCAGCGTGAAAAATATCCTATTATTCAAATAGACTTCAAGGGAAAAGCGACTAGATACTGGCTATTCAGTAAAAAAACATTCTTTTATCTGAATGCATAGCATCGTAGAAGCACACAAAAACAGCAAGTAGAAAACAATGAAAGCGAGAAGAGTGAAAAATAGTTAAGACATATTAGTTCATCATTGATCTATCTAAAGCGAAGTGAATGAAATCCAGTGCTAAATTATTAGAAAATACACACTGTTTTACCATAATTCAGGGATACCATCGTGTATGTAATGCAATGCTTGATCACAATCTTTTCTTAGACGTCGTTGTTCTTCATGACATTTCTGAACATTATCACGCATCAATTTTAATTCTTCTGTTAATGAAGAATTTTCCATTCTTAATATATTCATTTCAGCATCTTGTTTTGAACACTAAAAGACAATAAGATAAATAGTGAAAAATAGTTCAAATGAAAGTGACAGTTTTTACCTTGTTCGCCACTGATGTATAGTTTTTTGCATTATTATCATAATCATTTTTTAATTGTTCAAGTTCTTTTTCTCGCTTTCGAACAATAGATTTATGTTCATCAAGAGATTTTTCTAACATTGTTATATGACGTTTTAATTCATGATCCATTTCTTCAAATTTTTGAATCTTGACAAAAAGATACAGTAGACAATTAGAAATTTAAATGAAATAATCAAACTTACTGTTGAATTTGAATATGCCTGTTCTGTTTTTAACGTTTCTAATTCTGATTGTAACATTGTTATTTCAACTTTTTTTTGTTCTAATAAACATATTGTATCCTTGTGAGCATCTTTCATTGAAATTAAAAATGATTCACATTCTGATATCTATTAAATAAAAATTAAAAATGATCAAATAAAAATCAATTATTGCAATTTTTTAAATTGTTACTTTTGCTTGATACTTTTCTTCGGTTTGCTGAAATCCACGCTGTATTGATTCATTGTAAGAGTGAGCATTTATTAATTGTTGTTCAAGCTTTTGCGTTGTTTGATTGAGAAGACGATTTTCTTCGCCATATGTACCGAGATCATATTCAAGTTTGTCAATCTAAATAGATAATAAAAATTGATCTTGATCGATAAACAATTAATAAAAGTAATTTGATACAAGCAAATTATTCTTTAATTTAATTATGCGACAAAAAATTAAGAATTTCGTGTAATAGCAACAACAACAAATTTTTACCATTCCGACAGATTCGATTGTTTTAAGATGAATTTGAAAACGGGTAAAGGGGCCTCTCCTAAGGAATTCGAGTTTTTCTTCGAAACTGACGTAACCATACGGTTCAGTATCTCAAAGTGTCATCTTTCAGAATCCATCTCAGTTTGCTAAAAATCCAATGTTTCTGGAGGTTTTCGAAAAAGATTTCTGAAAGCTCTAAAAATCACCTTTTTCTAAATTTCACATTTCAATGAAAAATTTTGAAGTTGTCCGTTTTAAGGATAACCCTCCCCTCATTTTGGGCTTTCTGTAGAAATACTGTGCAATAAAAACTAAAACTCACTAAGACTTCATATTTTCAGAACTAATTGGAAACTCAATGGAGCACTTTTTCGTTTTCGTTTCAAGTTTCTAACTATTGCCATTCACCAATTTTCCAGAAAACTCTGTTTTTCATTGTGCCACATTAGGACCCCCTTAAATTTCATCCGATCGAGTTAAAAATTACTCAGAGGTACTCAAGGTCATAGCGCAGAGGTCTAATTTTGGAATTTTCTTTTCGACCTTTCTTTACTGAGTTATAGGAAAATACCGAAAAACTTTCAAAACCTAAGTTTTTCAATTTTAGAAACCCTATGACTCGGTAATGAAAGGTCGAATAGAAAATTCCAAAATTAGACCTCTGC